CTTCTTGCTATTTATGTACTAATAGTGAACAAACATGATTGATTATGTGACAATGGCAGGAAAAATAGGATGCAGGGAAACAAAGGGTAGTCAATATTATGGGAACAGTATCCAGGTGAGGTACAATGGGTAAGCTTTAATCGGGAACATGAGGAAACATGTTGGTCACAGATAGTACTTGCAGTACTTGGTGTACTGTCCAAGCTACTCCCAGACCATCTTGGATCCTGACCACACAATCAGTTAATGGCTGCCTAGGCGTCCCCAGCCACCTGTGATGTGTTCATTGTCTCAAGGCAGTCATGCACAAGTGCCATATCCAATTCTTTCACAAACACAAAGTGCAGAGGCCAGTGTGGAAGAGAGGTCACAGTGGGATGTTGAGACTCTTTGGCTAGGGCTGTAAGGAAGGAGTTGGAGATGATTTGAAGGTCCACTTTGGGTGGCCTTATTGATGGTGATGCTTTGAACTGGAGTGTGAACCTGAGGAGAAGGAGGTGGAAAATTATATGTCTGCCTATTGGGAGGTTGACTAGAAGGAGTTGCCAGATGCAATAATGAATTTAGAGTATTGATAAGTTTTCTTATTTTATTAATGAAGAAGCTGATGATCAGAATAGTAAAGCGACTAGTCTGAGGTCTCAGAACATAGCCGCTTAATAGAAAACATAACATGCTTCCTTTTGTTGTTTTCATACTTGTCTCCAAGATGCACTTTTTGGGAATGTCCACTGAGAGCATCTCTAAAGCACTAATTACCAAGAGAGAGTATCATTAAATACAGATTATGGCTGTGTTGTTTGTGTTTATTTTTAGCTGAGTCCAAGACACCAATGAGCCATTTCTGGTTGTTGGGACAGAAGCCAAATGTTGATTGAAAGGTAATAGCCTAGAGTTAGAAAGCTGGAAGCATGAATGGACATTAGAGATCAGCCAAAACAATTTTATCTCACAATTGCAAAAAAAAAAAAAAAACAAAACCTGAATCTTAAGGACTTCCCATATCCCAAAGGAGAAGTCACATTGTCTAGGACTGTAATGGTTGAGCCAGGGATCAAAAAACATTTTTTGAAGTTTTATTTATTCATGCATACAGAACTGGGGTACAGGCATGGGGAGAGGATTCACCAGAGGTGGAGTGGAGAGCAGAACAGGCAGACCAAAAAAGTATACTACTGAGGGGAGCAGCAGGTGAGACAGGAGAAGTCTGCCGTGCCATGTGGGTCACCTCCAGGGCCAAGGATTGAACTTGTTCAGAAGAGGCTGTGGCTGGCTTGCAGTGCTGTGCTTTAACCTACTCTCCCATCCGGGAGGGTCAAGGCAGGGATTATAATTAATTCTCATGTTTTCTGACCCTTCAATTTAGTGTGTTCACAGGAAGATTATCCAGATTTTTTATTGTAGTTATTGTATTAACTGTTATGCTTCAGTTGACTACTTTGTCAATTAGTAGCCCTGGAGCAGGAAGCTGAGTCACAAGCCACTGCTATTTGGCTATACAGTGTGCATTTGAGAACTAAAAGAAATGGAAATGAATGGTGAATCAGGTTATTTTCAGTGTCTTCATCCACTTAGTTTAAAAGTTGCTCAAGGATAAAAATTATGGACTTGAAAAACAGAACCTGGGCCATATTAGTTATTTAGTAAACGTGTATGGAATGAGATAGCCAATCTAATTAATGGTGATTTCTGAAGTACATTTTTTTTAAAGTAAAAATTAAAGTGTGATAATTGTACTGGGTCTCCCCTTAGTCCATATGAAAGGACTAAGGGTCACATGGTTACATGGTTCTCATTATTTTCATAGGAAACCGTGGAGAGGACTGTCAGCTGATGCAAGGAGGGTAAATATGCTAGCAATGCCCTGGTCTGAATGTGACCTCCTGGTACAACACCAAACATACAAACTTTTCAAGTCTGTGGCTCATTAATCTCATTACACATAGCTTTTTTTTTTTTTTTTTTTAAACAGACACTTTTCTCCTTGTTTCCTTTTTTTTTTAAATTTCATTTATGGAGATAATTTTGGTTAACAATTCTATGTATGTTTCAGGGATACAGGGCAACATTTCTTCAAATATTACCACACCACACCTACCACCACAGCTGCAATAACCCACCACAGTCCATAGCATAGGGCCCTCTCTTCCCTCTTTGCTCCAACCCTGACTCTTGCCTTAGGTAGCCTCAATTCTGTAGTCAGATTTCAAAAGTTGGTTTTGCTTTGTTTTTGTCTGTTTCCTTGCTTTGGCTTTTATATTTCAATCTGAATGAAGTCAGCTGATATTTATCGTTCTACTGACTTATTTTGTTTAGCATAATTCTCTCCATTTCCATTCATGTTGTTGCAAAGTGGCAAAATTTCTTCTTTTTATAAATAGCTGAATGATATTACATTGTATATATATATACCAAATCTTCTTTATTTAATCACATATCCTTAGGCATTTAGATAGTTCCATAACTCAGATGATGTAAATAGTGCTGTAATGAATATAGGACTGCCTATATTCATTCGGATTAGTGTTTTGTGTTCTCTGGATAGATATCTAAGAGAGGAATTGCAGGAGTTAATTTTAGTATTTTAAGAAACCTCCATAGTGTTTCTCTTAATTTTCCTTGTTTCTCATTTCACATGTGTATGGACACACACACCACACACACTATCACGCTCCCTTTCTGTATCCATTTGCAGGTGGAAGCCTATATATTGCTTTTTGTATTCTGTAGTCTTAAGAATGACCCTTTGTCATCAATTTGAAATGTAAAGCATTAAAAGATTTATTTATTTATGCATACAGACCTTGGGTACAGGCTAGAGATACAGGGGCAATGAGAGGATTCACAAGAGGCAGATTGGGGGAGTAGAACAGACAGATTTATGAAGTACACTGCTGAAGGGAGCAGTGGGCGAGACAGGAGCGGTCTGCTGTGCCATGTGAATCACCTCCCTAGCTGGCGATCTAAGTCGTGCTGACTTGGCTTGCAGTGCTGTGTTTCAAGATGTTGCGCCACTGGGGAGGGCCCAGTGAAGTGTTCTTTTGTTAGGATTGCCTTACTCTACTCCAAAAGCTACACAAACAGATTATTGAATAACTCATGACTTTGCCGTTCATCTGATTAGTTCCCTGAAAGTGATCATAAGATAGCCTTAAAAAGCCTGGAGGCCTTCTGATCCAGAATGATCAGAAAGGGCCTTTTTCCCTTAACTTCCTGAAATGTCATGTCCACTCTGAGCAATATCAAAGGAGGTGACTGCTTGCATCAGTAACTTAAAAAAAAAAAAAGGAAAACACAGGTTTGGGAAAATGAAAGTTCATATGTAGGTTGTTTGTCATATGAAGATCATTATGCCTTCTTTCATTTACTAAATGAAAATAGGAAATTTAAAAATTACTTTGTGGTGTAAGCCATGTAAGAAATGTTTTCGGATTATCATGTGCTGACCCTGACAGCATGTTCTTTCTGGTGTTAAGTGCTTGGACCCAAGCTCACATAGCCGAATAAGGACGTTGGCACAGATTAATTTTCTCTAAGTGCTCATGGATCATTTTCTCTTATGCCATTCTAATGCCAATGTGAATATGATACCCTCCAAGTGCTTTATTAACTGGAATTAAGATTCATCACAAAATCTTGAGTGTTAAGTATAAGTTGTTCTTTGAGGGATGTTCATCTGTATTTTCCTTTTACATTCCAGTTTCAGCATTTTGTTCTTTTTCAATAAATTGGTTTATTAACTACAACTTAATTTTAATTAACATTGTATGACACTTCATATAAATATATTTGCATATCAGAATACAAAAGCTTTATTTAACCATATATATGTCTGGAGGCTTTGGTCAGTAAAAACAGCTTCAGCAACTGCTAGTGGACAAATTAAAACAACATGATTTTTCTCATTTTTGTTAATTGAGTAAAAATACTTGTACAATTGTCATAAACTTAAATATGAATCTATGATTTCACAACCTGCATCATAGTGTCATTTATAATATTTAACATGCTGGAGAAAAGGAAGAAAAATTCAAGAGCCAACTAGTGGGTAGATACTTTGCATATGTGATTTGCATATGTTAATTCATTTTTTCACATGAACTCCCTGTGAGATACGTATTACTTATCATTTTGCAGGTGAGTAGGGATATACAATTATGCTAGTAGTTACTATTATTACCATTATTTAAATTTCACTGTGGATATCTTTTAACATTAATACACAATGAAGCTATGTATTATATTTATTATTTATAAGCTTTATTTCTACTAAAATGTGAGTTTTTAGGCAATAGGGAGCTTTGCTTTTTAGTTATCATGTCCCAAGTGTTTAAAACAATGGAAATGTTCTAATGTTCAGTTGTCAAATAAAGTCACTACTATGATTATTGAACAGTTGAAATGCACTTAGCTTAATTTAAATTGTATGTAGTTTTAGTAAATTTAAAATTAAGTAGTCCTAGGTAGCTAGAGGGGTAATGTATTAGCATAGTTCTAAGACATTGCATGGTAAGGAGAAGTTTCAATAAATACTTACAAAATGAATGAATCCCCTCTCAAGAACAGTGCTACACACTTTTGTATTTAAATCACTTTTTGGCAATGAAATAGTTTACTGAGGCCCTCCCTAGTGGCACAATGGGTTAGGATGCAGCACTGTAAGCTGGCCGCAGCCACCTCAGTGCAGGTTCAATCCCCAGCCCTGGAGGTGATCCACCTGACGCAGCAGACCTGTCCTGACCCACCTACTGCTTCCCCTCAAAAGTGTATTTCAGTAAATCTGTCTGTTCTGCTCTCCACTCTGTCTCTGGTGAATCCTCTCACCATCTCTGTACCTCTGGCCTGTACCCACTTCTGTATGCAGAAATAAAAAAAGTTTTTTTTTTTTTAAATTACTTTACTGAGTGATCTGCTCACATAGGATGCTACATGAAATTCTACTATATGATTATGTTTATAATTGTAATGCATTTTTTATTTCTATTTCTTTTTGATGACAGGTCAAGAAAGATTTGGAAACATGACTCGGGTCTATTATCGAGAAGCTATGGGTGCATTTATTGTCTTCGATGTAACCAGGCCAGCTACATTTGAAGCAGTTACAAAGTGGAAAAATGATTTGGACTCAAAATTAAGTCTCCCTAATGGCAAACCAGTTTCAGTGGTTTTGTTGGCCAACAAATGTGACCAGGGGAAGGATATGCTCATGAACAACGGCCTGAAGATGGACCAGTTCTGCAGAGAACATGGTTTCGTAGGATGGTTTGAAACATCAGCAAAGGTAATGCAACCTTAAATGATAAACTTTTTGTAAGCAATAAATACAAAGCAAATGACATATCATCATCATTATCAACAGCATCTTCTTTTTCTTAGTAATGATGTGTCTCTCAATCTGATAGTTTCCAAATTGCTCCCATGTCAAGGTGATGAGTGGGCAGGCAGAGTGGTTATCCACAATTTGAAATGATTTTGGCTAAGGTAGCAACACAGCTTGTATATGATCATGTTTATAAGAGTTAAATAACTGTTCATTTTTTGAGGACTTATTATGCATCAGTCTTTTTTTTTTTTTTTTTTTTTACTTATCTAATCCTTGTGGCAACTCCACTAGGTAAGTAGGGTTTTAGAGTGAAAGAAATGGGCTTCGTATTCATTTTCTTTGCATATGAGTGTATTAATTAATATACTCATCAGCATTGTATTCTACTTTTCAAAGTGAAAAGAAGCAAGTACACAGAACTCTCACATAGGGAATATTGAAATAGTGTAGTGAGAGAGTAAACAGAAAGTGAAAATGTGTAGAACATGGTGTGACTGCTATTTCTGATTATTCTGGATGTTAGAGGAGGTATAGGGAGTGGGGAAAAAGTGAGGACTGGGAGATAGAGCACAGTTTGACACAATGAAGGATACTGTATGTCCTCATTTACCATCATTCACAGGTCCTTGAAAATTAATACTTTAATTTAAAAAAGGTACAAGGAAAGAAGTTCTATGCTTGTGATGTTTTATTTAATTGTGGATTTTTTTTCCTTATCAGCATTATAACCAAAAGGCAGTGGATGAAATGGTATTATTGGAGGGCCTCTGCATTATTATCCTTAAAATATATCACTATTTCTCAGATGCCCAGCTTTTTGCCCCATTCCTTTTTCTTTTTTCTGGTTTATTTATTTATTCATTTATTTGCCAATATCAGAGGGAATACAACTTTCATAATAAGTAAACACACAGTTTTGCTCTATTTTATGTGCATATAATTGTATATATTTTGCATTATTAGATTTGTATTCTAAATAGCTTATATTATGACTCTTGTACTTTTATTTATTTGTGAAACACAGATATAAAAATAATTATGTAATACAGGCTCTGTCTTATTTACTTGGGATTCAGCCATAAATAAGATAGACATTGTCCCTAAATTTTGGCTAACCTCAGACATTTTTGCACATCATTAGAGGTGGTTAAACTAGCTTGAAATGTAATTTAAGGGCCCTCCCTGGTGGTGCAATGGGTAAAACTACAGCATGGCAGCCCAAGTTCAATCCCTGGCCAGGGAGGGACCCACATGGCACAGAAGACCTCCCCTGGCCTTCCCACTGCCCCCTCAGCAGTATATTTCAGTACACCTGCCTTTTCTTCTCATTCTGTCTCTGGTAAGTCCTCTTACCTCCTACTTCTCTAGCCTGTACCCCAGTTCTTGTGTGCATAAGTAAAAAATCTTAAAAAAAAACAAAAGAAAGAAAATTTATGGTCTCTTCCTGGTGGCATAGCAGGGTAAAGCACAGCATTGAGAAGCTGAAGTCACTTCTGCATAAGTTTGATCCCCGCCCCAGAGGTGACCACATGGCATAGCAGACCTCTTCTGACTCACCTGCTGCTCCCCTCAGCAGTGTACTTTATCAGTCAGCCTGTTCTGTGGGGAACAGATGTATGCATAAATAAATAAATCTTTAAAGGAAAATTTAATTAGAATGAACATCATTTAAATCACTGGGGAGGAGATTTGGACCAAGTTTACTTTGCAGAGTAAAATGGTCAGGCTAGGGAAATGAAGATTGGATGGGGATAAGCCTGGAGACAGAATGAGAAAAAGGCCTTGACCAATAATGACCACAGGGATTGGAAAGTAAAGTTTGATTTAAGATAATCACTAACATGTAAAAACAAGCAATATGAAGTAATGACTTGGATTGCAAGGTGCTACTTTTTTTGTCATCATTGGGTTTTTCTGTTTCATCTACGTCCCCCAGCCCCAGTGCCTGCCTTCTGTTTGTGCTGTCTCTGTGGGTCTTGTTTGGAGATTGTTATTTCTCAATTCTTTTTTTTTTTAAAGATTAATTTATTTGTGCATATAGAGCCGGGGTACAGGCCAGAGGTGCAGGGGTGGTGAGAGGGTTCACCAGAGACAGAGTGGGGAGCAAAACAGCCAAGCTGACCAAGAACACTGCTGAGGGGAGCAGCAGGCGGGTCAGGAGAGGTCTGCAGCGCCATGTGAGTCACCCCCAGGACGGGGATCAAACTCATGCTGAAGTGTCTTTAGCTTCTCAGTGCTGTCTGTGCTTTGACTTGCAGCCCCACCAGGGAGGATGACTTCTCAATTCTTATCTTATCTCCATCTTTGGAGTCCTGGGTAATAATGTTCCCTTTCTTAATACTTAAATCTTTTGTGTTTTTCTTTTTCTTAGGATTTCCCACCACCCCCTACCTTTTTTTGCACACACCCCATGTATTCTTTATGCATTGATCTGTTGATCAATCATAAGTGTTACAGTAAACATGGGAGTGCAGATATTTCTTTTTTTTTAATGTATTCATTATATCATCATTTTTGTACAATGCATGGTTTCCCAATAAAATTCCCAGAGCCAATTCAGGATTTTTCCCTTTATTTAGGATGAGTTGCTCATTACTTTCTATTTCTTGGATGTCATTGAATTTTTTGTTTGTTTTTGTTTTTCTTGAAGAATTTGTGGTTGTAAAGAGAGATAGGTAGAGTAGAACTCACAGGTATGACTAAGTTGCAGACATTTGTTAAATATGATAATATATGCTCTGATGTTTTGACATTAGTCTGGCATAAAAAAATTCACTTGTTAGCCAACTTCCTGACTCCATAATCAATTTCAATTCAATATACTGAAATTCCATATGCTTCTGCATATACCTTCAAATTTCTTCCTTTCGACAGTCACTTTCTGGTTCAGAACCTTTAGGCACAAGGGTAGAATGGGTATTTTCTAGAACTCATTTTCTCATTTGGATCATTTATACTTGAAGGGCAAACTAACTTGATTGATTCATAATTCATTGACTCAATCAGCAAATAGTATACACCTAGTAAGGAGCCAGACTCTGAGAATGCAGAACTCTAAAAAACATATAGGATTTTGATTTTAACAATAGTAATAGTAAAATATGGTCCAAATGTATGGGGTGTTGGTGAGTGCAATGTTGCTGTCAAGACAAAATTAAAGAAGAGAACAGAGGCTTAAAAATTTGTGGAGAGGTTTGATATTTTTTGTACGACAAAAACCTGGCTATTTTCTTTAATCACTTTTTGACTCTTATTGACTCTTATTCATCTTTTGTAGTGTCATATTTTACTTAAGAGTTTGAGTTCATTTACTTCAGTCCTGACTTACCTTCTGTACTTGAATATTGGATTTCTAATCCTCCAAATCCCTGCAAGTATAAACTGTGAAGAAAAATTGTAGAAATTAGAACCTTCATGTGCCTCTCTTCTCTCTCTTTTCTCCAAACATGCTGCTATTGAAATCAATCTTCAAAAGCTCTTACTGAAAATGCCTGATGCCAGGTTAGGATTCAAAGTCAACACCTAGATGCCCAGGAACAATACTGCAGCTTTGATAAGCTAATATGGCATACTCCAAAAATTCTTAAAGATTTCTGATAAAGCTTTGCTTGATTTTTTTTTAAGATTTATTTATTTGCATATACAGAAGTGGAGTACAGGCCAGAGGTGCAAGGGTAGTGAGAGGACTCACCAGAGACAGAGTGGGGAGCTGAACAGGCAGATCCACGATGTGCACTGCTG